CCCCCCCCCCCCCCCCCCCCGTATCCCCCAAAAAAGGAGATGCACATAGCATCTGTTTAATCTATTTAGTTGGCTCATTGCATCTATGTTTCTCATTGGAAAAACATTGGTACGTGCTTATCTACTCAATCTACTCACTTGACGTACATGTGCATGTATATGTTTGTATGTGGGTGCGTGCGCGTATGTATATTTTTATGCATACATCATAGAACCTTCACGTGCCTGTTTCTTTCTTCTCTATTCATACAATCCTAAGCCCTAAACCCTATGTGTATGCATTATATATATATATATATGTATATATATATATATACATATATATATATATATGTACACACACACATACTATGACCCTCTCTCTATCTCTGTATATTTACACACACACACACACCTTAAGCCTTAAACTTGGCCTTAACACCCTAGATCCGATGCCTGGTGGGAAGTCGGAAATGCCTGATAGGTTTCCTCGGGGTTTTAGCCTTTGGAAACTTTGGGGGGTTTCAGGCTGCGGGTGTGCGGGTTATCGCTGCGGTTGTTTCCTGCATCGGTGCATTGGGGGCCCCGGCCCCAGAGCCTAAATCTTCCGGCATTTCTTGTGCAGAGAAGGAAGACTGCTCGCGGCTCGTGATGCCATCGCATCATCCAGTGTCATCGGAACTGGAAATCAAAGCCCTACCCTTAGCAAGGAACGTGAAGTCATCGGTTTGCAAGGCCCGCGCCAGAGCCGATGTCAGAAGGCAAACCCAAGGCGCGTGTCGTTGCCCTTGGCTTTGTTGTTGGCAGTCAAGGGCTGCGAGCTTCAAGGTTTCAGGCTTTGATGGCATTTGATTGTCTTGGATTTCGGGTTCAAGGGTTTAGGATTTAGGGTTTAGGGTTAAGGGCTTAGGATTTGAGTGCTTGCGGTTTATGGTTTGGGCTTCTTGCATCCATCGCTCGGGATTTGAGCCAAGGATGAGCTCGTGGTTTTGGCTCGGACCACGAAACCCCATGACTCCAAGACCTTGCGAACCTAAGCCCTAAACCCATCAATGTAGGGGCCCTAGTAACTATCTATACTATTCTGGGTTTTTTAGTATATTTATAGTATAATATCATACCCAAAGCCCTATTCTAACTATTAAGACCCCTACATGACTTAAACCCTATACCCTGAACCGCATTGCGCTTTGATCTCTGGCCAAGCACGTTGCAGAGTTGAAACAGATCAAGGTTTTCCTGATCGCAACATCGGGTTCAGGCTTCCTGTATGATCTTTAAAGGGTTCCTTTCAGGTTTTATAAGAGGTTTATCAGGTTGGGGGCTTCCTCTGGTACCTAAACCCTAAACCCTAAACCCTAAATTTCAGGGTTGTTGTGCAACTTGACGGTTGCGAGACTTGCAGATGACCGCCTGTGGTACGGGTTCCGCTTACAGCAGCTCTACAGTACACCGGCACTTCTCTTGCGTCTCTACACTTTGAAAGCCGTGCGAGAAGGCAACTTGCCGAACACAACGGCGTTTCGGGACCTCTCCGTGGAATATGTGGGTTTACAGGTGGAGAACTGTCTGCATTACCGAGCAGGGATAGCATTAGTTCGTGGCAGTGGTGGTGGTGGTGGTGGTGGTGGTGGTGCCGGTGGTGGTAGCAGACGCAGTAGCCGTCGTCGTCTTGCTAGCCACAAAGCTCCGAGCCTAAATCCCACATCCGGAGCACGGATTAGTCCCACACGGCCCAGACCCTGTTGAATGTATGGAGGCCCCTACATGTTAGGGCCAGGGAGACTCCCCCAACCACGTATACTACCAGACACCTTGAAAATCTTATTCTGATTATCAGGGCCTCTCTATGTAAACCATGAACCCTAAAACCGAACCCCTAAACCCTAGACCTAAACCTCTAGACCCTCAAAGAACCCTAAACTCAAAGGAACCCTAAACCCTAGACCCAAACCTAAAACCTAAACCCTAGACCCGAAGCCACAAACCCTAACCTAAAGCCTGCCTAAACCTTAAAAACCGCCAGGCCTATCCAGAATCACCTCGGAACTACGTGGCTGCCACGATCATCGGCGGAGACTCCGATGGCCGGCTTGGGTTCAAAGGGTCGCGACGTCAACCTTAAGCGGTTTAGGGTTTAGGGTTAAGGGTTTAGGGTTTAGGGTGTAGCGTTTAGGGTTTAGGGTTTAGGGTTTAGCGTTTAGGGTTTAGGGTTTAGGGAGTAACACCTTAAACCTGAATTAAACGCAAAACCCGCAACCCTGAACCTAAACTCCCAACCCCTAAACCTGAACCCCTAAGCCCTCAGGAGGTTAGCCTGGGTCCGGAACCCGAAACCCTGAACCCTCACACAGAACCACAACAACTTTCTTGCTCTTTCAGAACCCGAAACTGCCAACCCCCGTATTCACCAGCGACTCGAGGCTTGAAAACAAGAAGCCCAACGTTCTTTTTTTTAAATAGGGTTTAGGGTGTAGGGTTTAGGGCCAAGTTTAGGGTTTAGGGTTTAGGTCTTAGGGTGTAGGGTTTAGGGTTTAGGGTTTCGGGTTAAACAGGGCTCCTTGTTATATTTATACTACCACATATGTTCTCTAAGTCTTAAGGCCTCTACATGATGCACCAAAGTCGAAAAATCAAGGCTTCAGAATGGGCTGCCGAAATTATAGCCTGAACTCCGTAATAATTTTTGTTGTACCTACAATAGAGCCCTTAAAGAAGCCGTTACAGGAACCCCAAAAGAATCCCTCAAAGAACCCCATCAGAACTTCAAAGGAAAAATGCAGAAAACCGTGAACCCTCTAAGAACCTCAAAGGAACCCGATCAAGGAATTCATCAAGCCCTAAACGCTCCTAAACCCTAAACCCTAAACCCCTAAGCCCCTAAACCCTTAAACCTTAAATCCATACTAGACCCTAGACCCTAAACCCTAAACCCTAAACCCTAAATCCCTAAACCCTAACTCCATACTAGACCCTAAACCCTAAACCCATACTAAACCCTAAACCCATACCAGACCCTAAACCCTAAACACTAAATCCCTAAACCCTTAAACCCATACTAGACCCTAAACCCTAAACCCTAAATCCATACTAGACCCTAAACCCTAAACCCTAAACCGTAAACCCTAAACCCTAAACCCCAAACCTTAAACCCTAAACCCTAAACCCTGAACCCTACACCCTAAACCCTAACTCATCAAGGCTTCAAGGCTTCGTTGCCGAGCATGCCGCTGCCTTCAGTCCCCAATCTCCGCTCCCGAAGAGCCCTTGAGGGTTTTAGGGTTTAGGGTCTAGGGTCTAGCATGGATTTAGGGTTTAGGGTTTAGGGTCTAGTATGGATTTCGGGGGGTCAGGCATTGAGGGGGTTTAGGGTTTAGGGTTTAGGGTTTGGGGTTTAGGGTTTACGGTTTAGGCGGTTTGGGTTTAGGGTTTCCTCTGAGACTGGAGCTCCAACTGCTTCGAAATTACCGCCCGGGCGACTGAACTAGCCCCAGCTTTATTGTCAGGGGATGGTGCCATCGTTTGGCCTGGGGCATCGCGACTGGAAGAGGTCCAAAGTTGTAATTGAAGGGTTTGAATACGTAGGATAGGGTTTTGGATCAGATTATACCACAATATATCAATACAGGGCAGTAATGTTGCCAGTTCTGTCGGCTTCTACATACCGGGTTCGGAGTTTTGGGTGGTCAAGTCGGAAAGGGCTCGAGGCTTTACATTTGCTTCAATTTGGGTTTTCTGACTCTGCAGGAGGATGCAGGAATGTGCATGTACGGCACTGAAGTCGCGGGGTGCATGTTGTCGAATTCGCCAAGGAAGAAGTGTCCGCGAGTTGTGCGGGATGTGAGATCCTGGCAGTTTCGAGTCATAGCTGATCCGCGTGCCTGTATGACTTCGTCTGTATATATTCATCCACACTGTAGTTGTATCTATCTTGCCACATCTATGGCCATGTCGCTTCTCTTCGACCACACCGAGCTACGTTTACTATCTGCGCTGGATAGATTAAGGGATGCCAGGATTGAACTTCTGGGAAGGTTCCGCGTTCAGACAGCTCTTACAGGGGTGCCAGGTGCCATAGGCTGGAGCCTTTAACATAGACTCGGCCTGCGACCTTAAACCGTAAGAATTCGTTTTAACTGGGGACGGAGGCAGTGAAGAGTCGTGCCTTGTCAGTGCGTGGGATTTATTCTGCACATCGACTGCAGGAGCACAAGCCAGAAGCCCACTCTATTGGCACGTGCGGTGCTCGTTGTCCCAAATGCCATGCAGGTCTTCACCGTTGGTGCTGCTGATAATGTTAAGCTGGTGAGCCTAGGATGACATAGGTTCGCTCAAGGACTGACACTACTTCGGGTTATTGTGACTGCGGTTATGCCTGTCGTAAATTGTTGCTGTCATCGTCCTCGTATTAGCAGCAGGCAGAAGAAGCAGAAGAAGTTGTAGTAATAATCGTAAGAAGCATAGTAGACATGAAAGTAGTTAAGAAAAGAGTAGAGATGGTAATAGCAACAGCAGCAGCAGCAG